GTTAAAACAACAACAAAAAAAAACACTGCACACACATACACACACACACACACCGCTGCCTGCCCTGAGTGAGGCCCTAGCCCAGCCCCCCACCGGGAAGAGGCTGTTGCCCCAAGCCTGCAGCAGGCAGCCTTCCCTCATCCCGTACACTGATCCAGGTGGCATGTGCCTCCCGTGAGGGTGCACACAGAGCTGCCGTCCATGCAGACAAGCCTCCTGTGGCTCTGTTCTCTGCCCCAGCCCCACTCCTTCATCATGGTGTCCTCGATCTGTCCCTTCCCGCACCCCTTTTCCCCCCCATTTCCCCCAACTTACCAGCAGGATGCTGCTCTCCAAGCTACCAGGCTGCATTCCTAGCTGCATGCATGCACATGGCATTTATCAATGACATTCTCGGCCACATCAACCAAAAAAAGCCAATTGCCAATAATGTAAATTTTTCTTTTATTGGTGCCAATACAATATGGACCAGTTATATTGGTGCATCTCTAGTAAATAAGTTTACTTTAAGTAAATAAAAATTAATAAAGCATAATAACTTTCAGAATAAAAATCAAACATTAGGTGCTTAGCTCGAATTAGAGACTGTGTATTAAACATCTGTCCAGGGTGCATTATACAATATCTATTCTTGTTTTTTATACCTCCAAAGCACTGATCTGTAGTAGAGTGAGTAGGTGTTAAGGTAGATGGACCATTTGATGAGCTTTACTTTGATATCTGCTCCTATGTAAACTTTATAGAATCATGCTGCATTTTGAATTGATATTTTTTTTTAAAGTTTATTAACAGTACCTAGACATGGCAATTTAAAACTGTAAAATATACAGCATTAGAATTATAATGATTACTTTTATTTTGTTGCTTTTCCTTTTATTTTTGCAAGAAATTTCCTAATTTTCTGTACAAGATCTGTCAGACCCAGTTGGATGGCCTTTTATTGGGGTGGCCAAGGGAATATCTATATATAAGAACCTTGTGAGGTGTTGTGAACTATCATTGCAAAACACTTCTCAGTATTCTTGGGCAAAGGGAAAGATGGTTACCTGCTTTTTGCTATCTAATTGCTGTAGAGAGGGGCTATAGAAGAAATACTGTCATTGATCCTTCTTGTGATACATTTGGTAGAGACCAATAGCTTGACCTCTTTTAAAATATGTGTGCGCACACACGTACGAAAGTTATAGAAAAGCAGGTAGATACTGCATCTCTTTTTTGTGGAATCAATACCAGTACTAGCCAGATAAGAGATATGAGCATCTAAAGCCAGTTAAGGCAGGGGTGGGCAAAATGCTGCCATTCTCTCTGGCCTACAGGGCTCCTAAAAAAAAAATTAGAAAATTAATAGTTATCTTCTCCTGGCTGCCTGTTATGTGGCCCTCGATGGCTTGCCAAAACTCAGCAACCGGCCCTCCACCGGAAATAATTGCCCACCCCTGTCTTAAGGCTTTTATACTGCAGTGACTTTTGGTGATTTAGAGTTAATTTTGTGCTGGACATCAGTAAATTGAGGCATTATTGTAGTCTGCTTTACTCATGCACTAGTAAATGTTAAATAGCTTTAATGATCCAGCTGTTAGAACAAAGACAGGTTTGGCAAGGACAAATGGCAGTACACAGTGCGCCTGGAGCTATTTTTATTTGTTCCTAAAATATAGTACAAATGTTATCAAAAAGAAAAAAATATATATAAATCTGGTCAGTGTCTGTACTGTTGAAGTGTGTGGATTTGTAATTTTCTTCATTGCACCATTTTGGTGTTCTTAAACTAGTATGAGTCTAGATGCTTGAGTTTAGTTTTTTTCCAGCCAGCAGATGGAGATGCAACTCTTACTACCATGTGAGAGGTACTTAAGACAGGTTTAGAATAACATTTGCATCAATTTGCATGTCTTAATTGATTTATTTGTTAACTCTTCATTCTTGTAAACAATGTTCTAAAACAGGTTTTCTCATCAGTGTTTTCATTAAACGCATCTGTTTAATTTATACTGAAATGTGTGGCTGTTTAACTGAGGATACTAGTTGACGTGGATTTTCTTATTACTGTCATGAATGTA